TCTTTACTCATGTTGCATTATGCTTTGTAGTTGAGTGTGTTTCTTGCTAAGAGTTAGGGACGTCCCTTCCCAAAGCGACAGCGAAGACTCCAGAGAGGAAGGAGGGCAGGCTGAGGGGGGTAGAGGTTTGATTCCTTCCCACATTGAGAGTGATGTAAGCTCCTCCCATTCTGGAAAGCAGGCTATAAATTCCCAAGACAGCACAGGGCAGGCAGAGGCTGCTGCAGAGGAAATGCCACTGTTAGATTCGGCTCAAGAGGAAGAGAGGCAGGCTGCCCCTGAGTCTCCTCGGAGTAGGCAGAAGAGTAGAGTACATGCGCAATGCCAGCCCAGCAGGAGGTGGGGCAACCTGTGGATAATAATAATAATAATAATAATAATAATAATAATATAAAAAATTATTTATATCCCGCCCTCCTCAGTGGGCTCAGAGCAGCTAACAACAGTAAAATAATATAGCATTCTAAAATCAATTCATTATAAAATCAGTTCAAATCGAATTGATGGCAACCATTGGGCTAGAGTTCTGTGAAGAATTACCAAAGGAGGGGGTCAGGCTGTGCCTTGGCCAAAGGCCTGGTGGAACCGCTCTGTCTTGCAGGCCCTGCAGAAAGATGTCAAGTCCCGCAGGGCCCTAGTCTCTTGTGACAGAGCGTTCCACCAGATTGGAGCCACAGCCAACAAAGCCCTGGCTCTGGTTGAGGCCAGCCTAACCTCTCTGTGGCCTGGGACCTCCAAGGTGTTTTTGTTTGAAGACCGTAAGGTCCTCCGTGGGACATACCAGGAGAGGCGGTCCCGTATGTACGAGGGTCCTAGGCCGTATAGGGCTTTAAAGGTTAAAACCAGCACCTTAAACCTGATCCTGTACTCCACCAGGAGCCAGTGCATGATATCCTGCTGGCGTTGACAGCATCATCCAGTGGGTCCAACAGTGTCATCCGGAGAGGATTGAGCTGGGAGGGCTTGGACTGAAACTATTGTGCAATTACTAAATAAATCTAAGAGTGATAAACCTGCCAGCTTGCCGTGTCTTAGTGTGAGAGAGACATTGTAAATCCTGACACTAAGTATATTTTTGGTTGCCCCTTATTATCGCTTTTTACACAAGATTTGAAGTATGCTCATGAATGCCAGTTTCTAGAAATCACAAGTGGGGAGATTGTTGTTGTTGTGCTCAGGTCCTGCTTTCAGGCTTCCCATAGGAATCTGGTTGGCCACTGTGAGGATAGGATACTGCACTCGATGGGCCATTCTCCTGATCCAGCAGGCTTTTCTTATACTCCTACAAAGATATTTAAATATAACACAAAATCAAGCAATGCACAATAGTGATGAAGAAAGATGCTGTAAACATCCCTCAGTGCATTTGTGTGCCTTTCCACATTTACTTCGACTGTGGGACAGTGGAGTTGATTCATAAACAGCCAGCTGGGCCAAATACTGTGGTACCTCGGGTTACAGACGCTTCACGTTACAGACTCCGCTAACCCAGAAATAGTACCTCGGGTTAAGAACTTTGCTTCAGGATGAGAACAGAAATCGTACTCTGGCAGTGCAGTGGCAGTGGGAGGCCCCATTAGCTAAAGTGGTACCTGAGGTTAAGAACAGTTTCAGGTTAAGAACGGACCTCCAGAACAAATTAAGTTCTTAACCAGAGGTACCACTGTATTGAAGCTGAGGCTCCAAGACTTTGGCCACCTCATGAGAAGAGAAGACTTCCTGGAAAAGACCCTGATGTTGGGAAAGATGGAGGGCACAAGGAGAAGGGGACGGCAGAGGATGAGATGGTTGGACAGTGTTCTCAAAGCTACCAGCATGAGTTTGACCAAACTGCGGGAGGCAGTGAAGACAGGAGTGCCTGGCGTGCTCTGGTCCATGGGGTCACGAAGAGTCAGACACGACTAAATGACTAAAGAACAACGACCACTGTATTGGGCCAAATCATAGCAGAGACATACGTTGCCTTATAGCTTGGAAGAAATCCATTGTGATTGGGGGAAGAGCAGAGCTGGCCTCCCATGAAGGAGGGTGAAGCAACGGGCTCAGGTGGCACAAGTAATAAAGGCAGCACTCCCCCTGCCCACCCCACTGCTTCCGCCACCAAGAGGAAGCGCGTGGTGTTACCGTTCATCTTCCTTGCCCCAGATGAAGAAGCGAAGTGAGTGACAACGCATAGAGGAGTGCCCCAGCTCCCACCGAGTTTGGTGAGAACTGGGACATGGTGGCAATGGGACACAGCAAGTAGGGCCAGGAGATGGCAATTCCCATTTTGCCTCAGGTGGCAAAACTGGGTAGGCCACCCCTGGGGAACAGAAACTAACAATAGCCTTTTTAAATTTTATTTGTACTGGAATTGTGGAGTAGACAAGGAGGAATAATGCAGCAGGAGCTCAGTCTTGGGCCCTTTCCTTCCTAGTCAAAGCCACACCATGCCAAACAAAATAGCGTTCCCATCTCATTTTGAGAGACGCCAACATGGAGGAAGACCTTTAGCAGGTTCTGCTTCTGTTTTGGGAGACGAGGTGAGTTATGTAATAGCACCATGTTCCCACCCACCCTCTTTTACACTCTCCTGTTATGCAAACATGTAGCTTGACACACATACATAATGTGTTACCTAACACATCATCAACCATGAGCTATTTTGTCCATTTTATTTTAAAGTACCAGCAACAAAGTTTCAGGAATTGAGAGGGGAGGGAAAACAAATTGAAGGCTGTCATGGGTTTCAGAATTACTATTTTTTAAAAAAAATAAAAATGTTTTGCCAAGAGCTGAAAGGTATTCCTCCAAGATCTTTTTCGCAGACTTGTCAAAGTTGTTTGACAAATTTGTGGCTAAGCAGGACTTTGAGGAGAGGAAGAATTCACTAGAAGAGTGGACTTGCTGCTATTATTACTGGAGCAGCACGATGTCTATTCTCACAATTTCCTGAGAGAGCAAGCTCTGTCCCTTCTGGCAATCCCCCCTTTCCCTTCTCTGAGACCTCCACAAATCGGTCAGCTAAGTTCTAATGCAAGGGGATATCTCCACTCATGGATGATAGTGGTTCTACATAGTTTGGGGATAATTCACAAGTTTGTTTGTTTAATAGCATTTATATTCCATTTGATTGCTATAAAAAAAAACCCCAAACCCTCCAGCTACAAAGTTGAGGCTTCAGAACTTCACCCTCCAACTCATGGATGGGCTGAGGAAGGGAGAAGAGGTTGAGCCAGAGGGGACACGTCCTGGCATTGCACCCCTACTCTTCTTGGTGTGATTGTCATCACAGGTAAACACAGAATGCCCCCAAAGGATTTAAGTGTACCTCAGCACCTAGGACTTGCCGATCGCATGGTCGGCGGTTCGAATCCCCGCGGCGGGGTACGCTCCCGTTCTTCGGTCCCAGCGCCTGCCCACCTAGCAGTTCGAAAGCACCCTCGGGTGCAAGTAGATAAATAGGGACCGCTTACTGGCGGGAAGGTAAATGGCGTTCCGTGTGCTGCGCTGGCTCGCCAGATGCAGCTTGTCACACTGGCCACGTGACCCGGAAGTGTCTGCGGACAGCGCTGGCTCCTGACCTATAGAGTGAGATGAGCGCACAACCCTAGAGTCTGGCAAGACTGGCCCGTACGGGCAGGAGTACCTTTACCTTTAACATAGGATGGCAGCATATGGGAAGGCAGAAATGTTGACATTCAAAAAGGCTTCTTTAGCAGACAGGTTTTCTAGAGTTCTCATCTTTTCCCCTTAAGAAAGCAGAGCTGGATTTTTGCTTCTTTGCAATTGCATTGCATTGCACTACCTTCCTCGCCAGGTATTCGTGCTTCCCTGGCTTCCAGGCATTCAGCCCCGCTTGCTTAGGACCACGTCCCCATTAAGTCTGGCATTTCCCTGCCGCTTCAATCAGATTGAATAAAGCATCTCTTAGCCACTGCTTGAACTTCTGATATTTGCATCCCACTGTGTTCAAAGCAAGCTCGGCGTTGTGCAGTTTTCAGCAGCGTCCTGTTTAGAGGTAGCCCTGTGGGAAAGTACAAAGGATGGAATCAAGTGTTCTATTTATAGAGCACGCCTGGCTTTTAATGGGCAGCCTTGCTTCCTTTAGTGGGCAGGCTTGCAATCACACAGCATTCCAAAAGGCACACACAACTAAAGCTTAGATTCTTATTGCAGAGAGCAAATGATGAACGTGTACGGGGAGTTGTGCCCACCTTTATTGTTCGGGTCAGCAGATAAACAACAATCCTTCAAATTATCAAATTTGGCCGTTTTATTTTCAGCAGCATGAAAGATGCCGGCGCAGCCCAGCGGTCACTCTCCAGGCCAAGATGCCATGATTTCAGCAGCATAAATCAACACTGGCCCTACAAAGCAGGGTGCAAGTCAGTTGCAGGGGATGGCTCTGTCCAAGGACAAGTACAGATAGTCCAGACTCAAAGAGAACAACATAGAATCAGAATTGTAGAGTTGGAATAGTAGTAGTAGTAGTAGTAGTAATAATAATTTATTTATACCCCACCCATCTGGGCGGCTTCCAACAGAATATTAAAATACAATAACCTATTAAAAATTAAAAACTTCCCTAAACAAGGCTGCCTTCAGATGTCTTCTAAAAGTCTGGTACTTGTTTTTCTCTTTGACATCTGGTGGGAGGGCGTTCCACAGGGCGGATGCCACTACCAAGAAGGCCCTCTGCTTGGTTCCCTGTAACTTGGCTTCTCACAGCAAGGGAACCGCCAGAAGGCCCTTGGCACTGGACCTCAGTGTCTGGGCAAAACGATGGAGGTGGAGACGCTCCTTCAGTTATACTGGGCCGAGGCCGTTTAGGGCTTTAAAGGTCAGCACCAACACTTTGAATTGTGCTTGGAAACGTACTGGGACCAGTGTAGGTCATTCAAGACCGGTGTTATGTGGTCTTGGCGGCCGCTCCCAGTCACCAGTCTAGCTGCCACATTGTGGATTAGTTGGAAGGGACCCTATTCTATTCCAATTCACCGCAGTGCAGGAATATGCAGCTATCCCATATGGGAATCAAACCTGAAACATTGACGTTATCAGCACCATGCTCTAACCAACTGAGCCATCCAGGTTGACACAACACTGTGGTATTAAAGAATGCACCTCTAGCTCTGAGCCATCTTCTGTAATGAGTTTTCTTCCACTATCTCGATGGCCCTGATGCTTAGAATTCTCTCCCTGCACACCTATGTAGTCCCCACCCCGATATCCTTCCTTCCTTCAAGTCCTTCCTCAGAGCGTTGACTTTTCAGGAAGCCTTTGGCTTGATATCTTAGTTCTCAGTCTCAGTTGTAAGGCATAGCTGTCAAATTACAGATTTGAAAATAAGGGACCAGCAGCCTCGAAAATAAGGGATCAGCAGCCAAAATAAGGGATTTTCCAAGCACAGGTATGCTCAACTTCTGAGCCCCTCCAAGCCAAAGGCAGAAAGCACAGCCAGCAGCTAAATGAAGCCTCAAGCGGTGCAACCCAGCAAAGGGGATGCAGCAAGGAAAAACCACTGTCACCTCTCCTCTGGGAAGCACTGAGCAAAGGCGAGTCCCCAGGCAACGCAGCCGATTTGATCGGCACAAGGCATGCAAGCTCCACCCCCCAGTCATTCTTAGATTCCTTATTGGGTGAGCAACGCAGCCAAGCAACACAGTTGGAGCCTCCCTCCTCCCTGGCTGGCAGGGAGGGAGGGAGAGGAGCTGCTTCCTTTGAAACCCGGGAAATTTAAGGGACATCATCAATAAGGGAGAGCAGCAGGACACAGCGCTGGGATAAGGGACTTTCCCGCCGAATAAGGGACGGTTGACAGCTATGCTGTAAGGCAGCCTAAACATGCATTTACTTTATAACAAGAGATTGCTGGATCAGGCCAACAGTCCATTTAATTCAGCATCCTTTTCTCACAGTGGCCATCCAAATGCCTATAGGAAGCCCATAAGCACTATCCAAGCTCAACAGCAGTCTCCCCACTGAGTTTTCGCAAGTGGTATTCAGAAGCATTTCTTCCTCCATAGAGGCAGAGCATAACCATCATGGCAAACAGCCACTGATAGATTTTACACAATGAATTTTTCTAATCCTCTTTTAAGGCCACTCTTGTAGGTTGCCATCACTGCTTCCTGTGGGAATGAATTTCATAGTTTAACTTTCATTACATGAGCATGAGTGCTCCAACATTGGATGTTCCCAAGTTCTAGTGTTGTGACAGAGAAAAAATTATCTATCCACTTTCTCCATCCCATACACAATTGTATACATTTCTGCCATGTTGTCTCTTACTTGGCTTTTTTCTAAACTAAAAAGTCCCAAATGAACACATTCCAACCTTTCTTGAATGAATGAATGAATGAATGAATGAATGAATGAATGAATCTTTATTACTAAAAGCTATAAGCTGTCACAACTGGTCACAATGAGTAGGATACAAATAATTGATTTTAAACTGAAGAACAACAACAACAACCATACAAAAATGCAACAACAAAAAAATCACTCTTGCATAAGTTAAGCACTCCACGTCTCACACTCCCCCTTATGATACTTGTCTTGGTGCCTAGCTCTCAACTTACTTGCAGCCAAGGCAAATTTTGCAACCCGTGCAGTAATAAATACATTATTGCCAGCCAGCAAAATAGAGATTTGCTCAAGGGGAGTTTGGTTGGAAAGAGAGCAAAGGATGTAATCGAGGAATTTTTGTCTAGAGAATGTATATAAAAAGGGCATCGTAACAAATAGTGTTGAATGTCCTCCAAGTCTCTTGACTCACAGTTGCAGTCTTTGGTACAAAGGGGGTGTCCAACCTTTCTCCACACAGAATTTTCTCCGTCGCCTTGATAATTTTTGATTGTTTTTATATAAACCTTTTGCAACTGCAAAATATCCTTTTGGAAGTGAAGTGAGCGAACCTCATTTGATCATTTTCACCCCTTCATGGTGCCAGGTGTGGGGCAGGTGTGGGACATAGCTGGTACCAGTTGCACTAAGGTGTTCCCCATTGGGAATTCCCTAGTTCAGATGATGGGACTCTCTGTCTCGCTCAGTGCTAAAGCCACTTCCGTCCTGCAAAGGAGGTGGTGTTGCGGGCTTCACGCCCCCACCATGCGCAGAGCAGCTGGAACCCAGCCCCCATGCGATTGGGGGAATCCCTGGCCGCGTCACCCTGGCCAGCCAATCGGCTGACTCTGGGGGCGTGGCCTGCCCTATTTAACGCAGACACGGCCGGGGATCTCCCTCTTTTGCCCCCTCCAGCTGCTCCTGTTTCCCACCCTCACGCCCTTTAAGGGTTCCGTTCCTTGACCTTGCTATGGACCTTGGTTGGTCGCCGTTGAGGGGCCTGGTAGGAATTTTCCCACTTGGCAAATTGGCACCAGCCACTTGGTTTCCACCTACCTCGTAGCAAATCATCACAACTTTCTTGGTATTGGAGGTTAGGTATTGGTACTGGTATTGTTATCTAGATGGAAGAGGGGAGGAAGCACCATCACCTGCCCCACATATTGAAGGATAGTCCAAAAAAGGATTCTGGGGGGCATGGCCCTGTCCAAAGCCTATGGAGGTGAGGGCCTAAGGCACGCCCCCAAGCAGTGAGGCTGGGGGAGTTCCTAGTAGATGTGCATCAGCAGGAGTTCCCCTACTAGTGGTTAACCCTTCCCGGACTTCAAGCGGATGGGCTGAAGCCAGATATAGTCGGTTAGGACCAATGACTAAGGCAATACCGCTCATCACCTGTAACCAATAAAGTTTTGGCCTTATTTAGCCCATTAACCTCAATAATTATGTCATGTGTCTTTATTTCCACTATGCAATTAGCTGATGGGCACTGAGAGTGAGCCCACCTGAAGATGCACATTCATTGCTTGTCAGCTGATGGGTGCTGGAAGCCATCAAAAGACCTCATTCAAAGTGATGGTCACCCGATTGATGCCAGGTGCAAGCCCTGTTGCATCCATCTCCTGACATCAGGTGACTGGCAGGTTGGGAGCCCTGCCCACTTCTCAGACTTGACCTGTGGTGTGTGTGTGTGTGTGTAAGGATCTGGCCCACTGGCCAGATTCATTTCCCAAAAAGTTCTCCTACATAAACTCCCTGTTTGTGGCATGTGTCATGAACAGGGAGTTTATGAAATCTGAATCGAAAAGGATCATATGGAATTAATGCAAATTGCTCCTTGCCACAATCACAGTTTCAAGGACAAAATACTTGTTCCTTGACACTCGGAGCAGAGGTGGCTCTTAGCACATTATAACAGAGCTATTTTTGAGTGTGCAGAATATCTCCTTTCCACATTGCTCTGATCAATGCTCTGGGTAAGCACGATGGCACCAGGCATGCGAAGGCTCCTTTGATTTCAGCCTTACTGGCATTAATTTAATTACTGGTCTAATCTCCTTAAGCCCTCGGAGCATGAGAACATTTGGCACTCTAAGCTAAAGAGAATGCTTGAGAGACTGCTTTTTGTCACTTTCAGAAAGGGAGAAAGAGCTATGGCTCCCATTTCGGCTAATTAGTTTAAGGGAAAGGTTGTCTTCGAAAACGCTTTATGTTAGAAGACTTTTAATTTAAGAAAGGTATCGTATCCATTTTTGAGGGAGATGCTGTCCTGGCTCCATAGGCCCTGTAGTTAACAAAGACTCAACCAATGACACAACTACACATATATGCCAAACCTTGCAGTGGGTATGCACTCTTAGTTTATAATCTTTTAAATAGATACTCCAGAGACCCGGAATTCACCCGTATTTTCTGGCTGAGGAAGCAGCCCTGCCCCACTCTCCGCCTCAAACTCAGAAGACCTATTCCCACAACCATTTCCAGTGTACACTGACACCATCCACTGCCTTGCTACATCCATGAGCAACAGAAGGCATCAGTCTTCACTGTGCTTCTAACTCTAAGGCTATCTAAAACATGACCTAACTCAGGCTTCCTCAACCTCGGCCCTCCAGATGTTTTGAGATTACAGTTCCCACCATCCCTGACCACTGGTCATGCTAGCTAGGGATCATGGGAGTTGTAGGCCAAAAACATCTGGAGGGCTGAGGTTGAGGATGCCTGACCAGCTCCTTGATAAAGGTAAAGGGACCCCTGACCGATAGGTCCATCCGTGGACGACTCTGGGGTTGTGGCGCTTGTCTCGCTTTACTGGCCGAGGGAGCCGGCATACAGCTTCCGGGTCATGTGGCCAGCATGATTAAGCCACTTCTGGTGAACCAGAGCAGCACATGAAAATGCTGTTTACCTTCCCGCCAGAGCGGTACCTATTTATCTACTTGCACTTTGACGTGCTTTCAAACTGCTAGGTTGGCAGGATACCATGCTGTAGTTTCAAAACACACCATTTCCCAGGTGTTATTTATCACCCCAAACAACAGATTTCCACTCCCTTACCTTATGCCCATGTAGGCAAACCTGAACAAATGAAGATCAAGCTCAATGCATCTAGTAAAATGGGCTGTAGCCCACCAAACATATATGCCCTTAAGCTGTCACATGATGAACACAGCTACTTTCTGAAAATTCTCCAAAGCAGCAGAAGTTTCTTTTCTATGCATCCTGAGAAATGCAATGGTCTTTTTCTTGTCGTTGTTGTTTATGTAAGGTAAGTTGTCTGTAGACGGCAATGAAATACAAAGGAGAAGAAAAAGAACCAGAGGCAGGAATGAATATTTTTAAACAGAAGAATATGCTTGTGTTCAGTGAAACCATTTATTAAACCATGGCCTCTAGCATTTGGTCTGTTTGCGTCTGCTCTTTCTTTAGTCTTTCTTTTATGTATTCATTCATTCATAGGCTTCCATACTTTGCATTAAATAATATGTTTGTAATGAGTACACACACACACACACACACACACACACACACACCAGGACCCATGTGTTGTTAGTATTTTGTCTTCTGTCTTAAAATTCCCATTGCCTGTTTAAAATTTCCTATAGGTCATTCTGGGAATAAAATCTTTCTTTCTTTCTTTCTTTCTTTCTTTCTTTCTTTCTTTCTTTCTTTCTTTCTTTCCATTTTGCCCTCCCTCCCCTACTTTAAGCAGACCCTCCAAAGTGTCCCTATTTTCCAGGGATATCCC